CGTCAGAACTCATTCCATCGCTTTGTTATGGTTTTTTTCTGTTAATTTCTGTATTTTGTATTTTTTAACAGTTTTTTCTTAATTTAAAGAAAAAAATATGGCTGATGATTGCCAAAGGGCATGAAACTTCAAGTTCCATCACAAAGTTGTATTTTTTCAAATAATCAAAACTCTTTATATATATATATATATATATATATATATATATATATATATATATATATATATATATATATATATATATATATATATATAAATTAGTAAAAACATTTTTTTTCTGATGAAGATGTTTGATGAATAATCTATAAGATTATTAATGAAACGCAAAAAAAATTTTGTTTTGATGATTTAACAACAGCTTTTTAATGTTTTTAAATGTTAAAAATGCGCTAAAAAAACATTAACTTATCTAAAAAAAAAACTTAACAAAAGAGAAAATAAAAAGAAAACACTTAACTGTAGTAAATACACTATATATATATATATATATATATATATATATATATATATATATATATATATATATATATATATATATATATATATATATATATAAATATATATATATATATATATATATATATATATATATTATATATACTAGTATATATATATATATACTAGTATATATATATATATACTAGTATATATATATATATATATATATATATATATATATACATATATATATATATATATATATATATATATATTTATATATATATATATATATATATATATATATATATATATATATATATATATATATATATATATATATATATATATATATATATATATATATATATATATATATATATATATATATATGTATGTATATATATATATATATATATATATACTAGTTTTTAACTTATATAGTTAAAAACTAGTTAATGAAGTTACATCTAAAAAAAGAATACAAAAAAAGAAAAAAAAACTATAAATAAAGGGTAGAAAGAATTTTAAATAAAAAAAAATTGGGGAAAAAAAAAAAAGCAATAAACAAATAAAACTAACACAACTAAAATAAAAACAAGAGAGAAAAAAAAATTGATAGAAATTAAAGCACTAACAAATAAAGATAATGATAATAATTGCAATAATAATATAGTAAAAATAATAACAATAATAATAATACAAATAAAAAAAATATTAAAAATTATAACTGTAAGATGATAACTTTTATAAATATTATAACTAATGAAAAAGACTATGGTAAATATAATTATAGTAAAGTTTATAACTATGACAGAAATTATAAAGATAAGCATAACAAATGCAAAATTATGACAATAACAATAAAGCTATTACTACAATGGAATCACTATTATTATAAATAATATTAATAAGGCATCTAAAACAAAAACAAATTAATGATAATAATAATTGTAATAAAGTTATAAAAAAAAAATTAAATAAAATAAAAGTTTTATAAATACAGTAATATAAAAAAGCAATAATAATAAAGGATATAATTAATATTCATTAGATATATACTCAAATAAAAAAATTTTAATTTGGTTTCGATTGAGAAAAAAAATGTTGGTATTAAAAGGATATTTAATTAAGGTCTTTTTAAAAAAAAAATGTTATTTGTTATTTGGTGTTATTTGGTTTCAGTGAGAAATACATTGATATTTTATAGAGATCTTGCCATATGTAATAGTGTGGAAATAGGAAGTGCGGAAGTAAAAATTTTCAGCATTTTGAGTGTTATATTTACAAATTACAAAATTTTTATTAAAACAAGATTGTCGCTTGTTTAATAAAATATTATTGTTTAATAAAATTTTTAAACGAATTTGGTAGTTTATTTTGAGGAAAATCAAACACAAAGGGTCAATTATAAATCTTTTGGTCAACTGTATCAAATGCTTTTTGTAAATCAGTTAAAACGCTGCAAGCAAACAAACCGCTATCAATCGAACCACAAATCATTTCAGTAATGCTAATAAATGCATAGCAAGTAGGGTTTTTTAATCGAAATCCGAGTTGGTGGCCATAGAGACACTTAGAATTATCAAGGTAGTGGTAGATACAAAAATACATTCTAGGGCTATTCTAGAAAAATAATATGAGCGGTGGTACCCCTCCTTCCTGGAGAAATTTAGTGAAAATATTACCAAATATCTGCAAAAAACGAACAATATTTGCCATAAAAAACGTAAAAAATAAGATCCTCTATTTTTAATTTGGGGGGCGCCTAAATATGGTCGACGCTGTCAAAAATGGTCTAGAATAGCCCCTGACATTATTTTGTGGTAGATACCAGAATACATTATTCAAGAGTTTGCTGATATTTAATGATAATAATATTAGTCTATAGTTAGTACAGTCAAGTATTGAGTCCTTTTTATGGATTGGTTTAAATTCTTCTGGAAGTTTTTTTGAATAAAAATTTTAAATACTTATGGAAGTCAGTATGAGATGAATAAATGTTTTTTGAAGTTATTCAGGGATTGGAATCAAGAAACCGGATCATGTATAATTATGCATGATCCAGATCATGAATTTCAAACAACACCATTGTATAATGGTGTTGTTTGAAAATATACAAGATGGGTAGTTTCTGTTATTCCAATTACACTAAATTCATAATTTATTATTGATAAAAATGAGGTGAATTCGTCAAAATTATTAACTAATGAAGTGTTATTTAAATGAAATAAAGAAAAAGTATTGATGTTTGAAGAGTTAAATTTTTCAATATCAATGTGTTTACAATTGATTGGGTTCTCAACTACATTCGTATCATCATTGTTGTTGTTATTTAGCTGATAAGTAAAATAATTATTAAGTTGATTGAAAGTATCAGATTCTTGGGAGTGGGGAAAGAGGAAAAGGGTATTTGGCAGATAATTGGGATGTAATATATTGTCAATTAAAGTTTGAATATGTAGTTCATTATCTGATATAAAACTAAAAGGAAAAATAATGATGCAACATTATTTAAAACAGAGCCAATAATTCATGAAATGAATTATTGGCTCTGTTTTTTAATAAACTAAAGAGTTTTTTAATAAACTAAAATCATTATTATTCAAAGAACTACATTTCTTGTAGATTGAACTTAGTCAGTGGTTGTATTAAAGTGAATGATGATTACCATGAATAATTTTATTACAAGTTTTGCAGAGTTTAGTCGTAATAAGTAGAAACTAGTTTAGAAATAATGATATTAATATTTCTTTTTTTGTATCTGTAAGCAGGTATATTCTGCCGCATTCAATGCTAACAGTTTATTTAATTATTTACTTATTAAATAATTTATAACTTAAGTAATTTATTTTAAATAAAAGGTTAGAAGTTCACATTTTGCTAATCCCTTAATCTTCTTTTATACTGATAAATTTTATTCTTTTTATTCAAAAAATTTCTTTTTTTTACTTCCTATTAACTGTTAAAAAGACTCATCTGCCAATTACAAACACCTTCCTCTTTGATTTTATAATTTAAATTGTTTTTATCTATTGTTAGAACAATTTGATCTATTAAAATAGTAAGAACAACGGGTCAAAGTGCCTTTGATCTACTGTTATAATTATTCTTTTCTATTCTTCAAGCTGATTTTTTTTAACTGTTTGAGTACCTCTGGAAATTCTTCTTTAATATGTTGTAATAATTCACAGTGCTCTGAATCTTCACCACATTGTAAATAAAGCATTAAAGTGATTTAAAAAAAAAATATGCATTTTAAAAAATTAACTTTATATAATTGTTTTATATACAAACTAAAGAATGTAATAATACAATACAAATGTATGCTTCTACTGTATAATTACAAATGGTAAAAAATAGTTATAAACAAGTTTAACTTTTTTTTTGAGATGACTCTGTCATTGCTTTAAACATTAAAATTCAACTGTAAACATTAGAGATATGGAAAAAGATTGTTAAGACAAAAAAATCGACATTTTTGAAAGATGTAGTTGTTTGATTGACACATTGCCTAAACAAATGAAGCTTAAAGTTAGATTACAATTTATTTTTCATGCATAAAATTGTTTTAAAAATTTAATTTTTCAAATTTGGAGTAATGGAGAAGTCTAAATGTGATATAAAAATTTTTTTTATAGTAATATTTAGGGTGGGTCACCATATAAAAAGCAATGTTAGTTTTTTATAAATTTTTATAGATAATTTCTTCTTTTTATTTCAGCACTGCGCACTCCTAATAAAACAATGTCCTAATTTGTTGTTAATTTTGAAACTAAGAACTATTTTCCTATACCAAGTAAACAATTAATTGAGTATTTTATTTTGACTTGCTTTTGTTTTCTCAAATACTCACAAAAAACTTATTTTGGTTAGTAATTAAAATTTCTAAAATACTCACAAAAAACTTTTTTGGTTTAACAAATATTTAATAAAAAAAATAATTTCTAAACAAGAAACTGACTAAGAGTTCTAAAGTTTGAATGCATAACAATTATAATGAAAACAGTTTTAAATTATTATTTTTTTAATATTTTTATGTCCTTTTTAAATATGAAAAGACATTTAACTCAAAAGATATTTTGAGTTAAATGTCTTTTGAGTTAATGGTTCTTTTATTTTAAAAAAAAATTTTCCGGTTTTTATTCTGTTTAAAATTAAAAAAACAAATGTTTACACTTCCAATATATATATATATATATATATTATATATATATATATATATATATATATATATATATATATATATATATATATATATATATATATATATATATATATATATATATATATATATATATATATATATATTATATATATACATATATATATATATACATATATATATATATATATATATATATATATATATATATATATATATATATATATATACATATATATATATATATATATATATATATATATATATATATATATATATATATATATATATATATATATATATATATATATATATATATATATATAAATGCCCCTATCGTTTATATTCAAGATATATTTCTGTTGACATGTCTAAGTTTGCATCATTTCAAAAGATGTTCAACTTTTAGAACAATATGACAAGTTATGACAAGTATTTGGTCTATGGTGAATATTACAAAAGAATTTGTGATTCTTTATCTTCCTGCAATTTAGAAGACTTACTTTCAATAATTCAACTGGATATGGTAAAATTATTTATTTCTCTATTGTTAAAAGATTACATAAAGTTTGTTGTTTTTTATAAATTAACATCATATTTTTTACAATTAATATATTTAGTAAGTAATCATTTAACATAAATACAAGAAGATTAATATGTATAAATAATAATAATGTATAAATATATGTACATATTGTAGTATGATGAGAACAAAACAACTTCACTCCTTCAATTATCATTGTACAAAGAACTAACCAATCTTCCCGTAAGAAAAAATATTTAATATGATTGCAAATTTTATTTTATTTGTTTCATTAAATACTTTAAATGTTATATGTATATGCAACTATATTTATGCTTTATCTTTAGAGCCTTGACATACTTGAAGATAAAATAAATATAAAAGTAAAAAGAAAATAACAAAGTTTTTTTTTTTTGTGTTTGTATGTTTTACTACAATTTTTAGTTAAACTTGTAGTTATAGTATTTTGTACTACTATTATTACACAGTTAGTACTTTGTACTACAAACACAGTTAAACTTTCTCTTTTTTGTTACATTAATATAACTACTTTTAAAATACAACTTTTTGTAATAATTACATTTATGTTATTTTTTTTTTTTTTTAGAATTTGGCAATACTTGAAGATAAAATTAAAATACAGGTAACAAAAGAAATTTAAATTAAAAAATTTTTTTTTTTACTGTTTTTATAATTTCTAATTTAATTTTTTTTTTTTAGACATGCTTATTTGCCATAAGAAGCTTTTCGACTTTAGAATCATACTCTTCAATTTTATATCATTTCTGGATTTTAGTGAATTCTGGGAATGCTTCTATACACCTTTTTTTGCTGTTGGCAACATCCCCACAAAAAGTTGATGTAAAATAATTTATTAATTTAGCTAAACAATGTGGAAGATATGAAAGAGACAACTTTTTATAGTTACAAAAAATCAAAAAATATATATATATATATTCAAAAAATAATAGTTTCAAATCAAAGATACAAGTTAATAAAAATAAATTACAAGTTAAGATATTTTATAAATTTACAGTTTTAAAAATTACTATTTTAAGATATTAAAATTAAAGGTAACAATTCCAGTTATAAAATAAAGCTAAAAGTTAAAACTAAGGATCACAGTAAACCTGATTTTTGACACATTGATTGACATTGCTGACAATGGGTGACATTAAAATTCCAATTTAATAATAAAATAAATTAAAAAATTATTTATGTTTTTTACATTTCAAATTTTGTTATTGTTTCATTTAATTTATATTGTATATTATTGTGGTTTCAATACAGCATTTTTTTTAACTCACCCTTATATTATAGTATTAAATATGCCAATTCTTTAAATCTTTCTAGTGAATTTGTTCAATTTTTTTTATGAACACTCCAAATCAAAGCAGGTTTAATGAAAACATCCAAACACATTTTTCTAATGAGTAATAGTTTAGGTATATTCACGTTGACTCCCAAATTATTCAAATTTTGTAATGATAAAGGCAATAATATTAATTCTAAAATATTATTTAATAAAAAAAAACTTATAAAATAATAATAACAATAACTTTAAGAAATTATTTTAAAAAAAAAACACTTTTACTAAGCTTAATTTTATTTGAAATCTATAAAAAAAAATTCAACCCAATGTATAACTATAAAAGTGCCAATTTGATCAGTTTTGCATATTGTTGTTTTTATTAGGGATGGTTTTTTCCTGCAATGCCAAATGATAACTTATCAGAGGTTTTTGGCCTAAATCAAAAGGATACGAAAAATTCTTTTCTATTTTATGGTAATTGTTTAAAATTTTTTAGTTTTCATTATTATATACTATTTATTAAATTTATAAAGCTATTTAAATGTTATTTAGCTTGCCCTCGTGGTCATCCATATGTAATAACAGATGTAAGAACTTAATTTTTTTTGTATTATTTATTTATTTTCATACCTAATTTCATACTTAGAGGTAAAAGCAATAATGTAATGAATTAAAATAGCATAATAAATATTAATACTTTTTTTGTTTTATTTTATATACCAAGTATTGGAATTTATTATCTATTGCATTTGCTCTAGGTTTCTGGAGCGCCTACAAATTTTCTTTAGATCTTTTTTTCATAGTTATGATCACTATATTGTGAATAATTTTGACTGTATTTTAAGCTAATTAATCTTTTTAAAAATAATAAAATTGCCACCAAAAAGAAAATGTTTTAGAAATACTTAAGTTATTAATTTTATTTCATAATATAATTAAATAATTATTAAGAAATTAATTAAATAATTAAAAAATTACTAATTAATAAGAAATACCTAAATAGTTAATACTTAAATAGTTAAATCACCATGCAAAAATTAAATAAAAGCTAAGCAGTTTTTTTCTAAAGACAAACATATCATTATATAAGTTCATTATATAATATATGACAGTACATTAACAGTGGAAATTATTAATGCTTTAAGACTATGGTCTTCAAAGTGACAATTATTACAACTAGAAGTGTACTGGATATGACCTATATATCTGGCTAGATATACTGGATATGCTGGGATCTACTGGATATGCAGGGAAAAGCTGTATTATAAGCTGTATGTTTATGTATGTATATATATATATATATATATATATATGTATATATATATATATATATATATATATATATATATATATATATATATATATATATATATATATATATATATATGTGTGTGTATATATATAATATATATATATATATATATATATATATATATATATATATATATATATATATATATATATATATATATATATATATATGTGTATATATATAATATATATATATATATATATATTTATATATATATATATATATATATATATATATATATATATATATATATATATATATATATATATATATATATATATATATATATATAAATGTAGGGTAGATTAGGGTAATATGAGCACCTTAAGCAAAAACTATACTTATAATCTCTGGGTAATTTGAGCATGCTTATATTACACAAAATTGGCATCTTTAAATAAAGTCAAAACTAAAAGTTTCTATGCTTTTTTTTTCAAACAAAAATAAAACAGATTTTGCTGACATGTCTTTTTTGATGAAAAAATTAATTCCATTGTTTTAAGACCAAAGTTTGTATATATGTATATATATATATATATATATATATATATATATATATATATATATATATATATATATATATATATATATATATATATATATATATATATATATATAATTAGGGTATATTAGGGTAAAATGAGATTTTGTTAATTAAAATTATTGTTTCAAAAAATAAAAACTATTGTTTCAAACAAAATTAACTATTAAAATTTTTAATATTCAATTTTGTTTGAAACAACTCTAAATATACATGTTTAATTGATTATGTCCAAAATAATAATTGATTTAATATGATTAATAATGAATTTAAAATGAAGTGAAGTATGATGTTTTTTAAAAATAAAAAATAGAAATTTATTTTATAAAAATATTTCATCTAATAAGTTTTTTTTAGTGTGGTCGACCAAATCAAACATATTTATGTTCTGTTCCAGATTGTCAATCACCAATTGGAGGAAACAACCATTCATTGCTTCCCACAAATAATATTATCTCTAATAGGTATTTGTTTGAACAAGTATATTAAAAAAATTTATCTCAACTACGTTTTTAATTTGTTCAGATAAAGATTTTTTAATTGGGATATTTTTATAAATTTATATTTTGATATATATATATATATATATATATATATATATATGTAGTAAAAACTTTTTATAAATGAAATTGTACAATCAATTTGATTGTACAATTTAATCAATGTTTCATTAATTTTTTTTTTTAGTTAGGCAACAAAAATTAAGTATAATTGAAAATGTATAACTACATAAAGTTATTGGTTGTTGCTGTAATGTCCATACCTTAATAAATTTAAAATAATTTAATTATTTTTTTTAAATTCTTTTTTTGATTGAATAAATATATATAAATAAATAATGATCAAAAAATCTGTTGTTGAATATTTTTATTAAAAAAATTAGCTTATAAAAAATATTCTTTTTTTTTAATTTAATTTTATTCTATTTGTAAGAAATGCATATATTTTACATAATTGTCATTCAAACTTTTATAAAAATGACATGCAGTTTTAAAACTGTTTTAAGACTGTAGTAAAACCTTTAGTCTTTTTTAAATATAGGAAATTTGTAATAAGTTGATAATTTGAACTTCTAGTAACTTAATATAATTTTGAATTCCTCTCAAACACTCCTTAATATTTTCTGATAAAAATCACTATATAATTCAAACCATCTGAAAATTTAATATTATTTACAACTTAGCAGATCTAGAGGATAGTACAAATTTAGAAATTTTAGGTTATTGTCTATATGTTCAAAAGTATTGAAGAAATTTAAGATGATAAAACAATATTATGAAAAATTTTTAACTTATTTAAATCTTTTAATTAGGGGAGAGCTAACTATTTTATCTGACACTTCGTGTGAACCTTGTTGCTGTCAAGCATTAATCAATACAAAGGACTTCCTGATGATGTATTAAAGAACTCTAGCTCAAATTAAAGCACTTTCAATAAAATAAATGTTGACAAAAAGTTTACTTCTGATATTTTTTTCTGTCAGAATACTTTTGTACGCTTGTATTTCAATAAAATTAACTTTTTAGATTAGATTTTTTAGATTTAATAAAAATTCATTTGTTTTTACTTTCGAAACCAATTTTTTGACATTCCAGTGAAAGTTTGAAAAAAGTAGACTTTCCAATTTTGAGCACTACAATATATATATATATATATATATATATATATATATATATATATATATATATATATATATATATATATATATATATATATATATATATATATATATATATATATATATATATATATATATATATATATATATATATATATATATATATACATATATGTATACATTTATTTACATATATACATATATATACATTTATATATATATATATATATATATATATATATATATATATATATATATATATATATATATACATATATATATATATATATATGTATATATACATATATATATATATATATGCACATATATATATACATTTATTTACTTTTATACATATATATACATATACATTTATATATATATATATATATATATATATATATATATATATATATATATATATATATATATATATATATATATATATATATATATAAATGTGTGTGTACATATGTTCTTAGTTGCACATAAAACATCACTGATAGTTTCATTTATAGGTAATAATAATAAATTTATTTTCCTTTGATTTGATAATCTTAATTTACTTATTAGGGTTGATACAACAAAACCTGGTCATTGTTTGGGTGCAGCTTTAGAACGTCCAAATTTTTCTATTCCACAGCGTAAATTGACGCCATTGTCTGTTACAATGCAAAATTTATTAGTGCATCTTTCATTACTTGTTGCAACTATGACAGGTCATGTAGAGGTATTTATAATTTTTTCTAAAACTCATTCAGAGTAAGTAGTTTTTCACAGTAAGTAAAATTTCTAATTCTATTAAAAATTTTATTAAAATTCTTTTAAAAATTCTTTTAAAAATTCTATTAAAAATTCTATTAAAACTAGGATGTTGTGAGATTGGTGCATCCAGAAGTAAATTCTGATGCAATGCAAATGTTTCTAGTACAGCACATTGAAAAAGATCTTTATCTATTGTCTAATAGAATAGCAAAAAATATCGATGATACAAATTCTGCAGTTCACATTTTTTTTAAACGCCTGCTATTAAATGATGAATCTGGTACATTTTATACTTTTTATATTTTGTCTTATATTTACTATAAATATCATATGGTTTTAATAAAGTTTTAGCAAATTGTTTATTTTTCTAATAACTGAAAAAAGTAATAAAGATCAAACATGTTTGCTCTTTATTGCCTGTTGATCTTATGTGTCTGTTACAAATAATAATATAAATAATGTACTAATTCAGAAAAAGAAGGATCAAAACTTGAACCAGAAACATATTGATCAGTATCCTTAACATTAGTTTATAAATGTTTGAAAAGCTTATTTGGAATATAATTCTGGAGCATTTATATTCAGTATGAGCCTGCTAAATCTAGAAGTGATTCTGACAATCAAGAGTTTAACACAGGCCCACAAAAATACCAAAAAAGACTCAAATAGAATGCTTAGTCATTAATGCTTCATTATGAATATCTTTTATGAAACTATTTGCTTTTGTTCCAAACATGAGCGGCTAATTAACGCTGGTTCAACAACTTTAAATTTTAGAAGAAATCTTAAATACTTTATTTACTTATACAAAATCTGGAATCGTGTAGAGCATTTAATGTACGTAAAGAGTGATTTTCGCTATGCTATTTACATTATGTTACAAATTATCTTTATGTCAATCCAGTCTTTAAGTCTAATGATGAATATAAAGTTGGCCTGTGTTCTTCAACTTGAAGTTGCAAACATAAAACCAGAGTTAAGTATTTCACTCATTGCAAAATAAATAGTTTTCATGCATCACTTAGTTCAAGAATCCATTTCTTCTCAAACAATATCAAAATTGGAATAAACTTGCAGATATAGTTGTAGAGTTTGTAAACATAATTGGACTCGCTCTATCTGCTAAGCTTTAGCCTCTTCCCCATTGTCATTAAGTTGCATCTCTTTCTCTTTTCCACAAATACTATCATGGTCACTGCTCAAAGAGGCTGTTATCTCTAGTTCCAACTAAAACTCATTCTCTTTTGACTTGTCATTCTGCAAAGTCTCATTCGTTTTCTGTATCTGTTTCTGCATGCTCTAAAAACTTTTATTCATCTAGTTTTTTCCCACACACTTCAAGGCTTTGGAACTCTCTCCCATCTTCATGTTTTTCTGAATCATACAACTTTTCAAGTCTTCTGTCAACTGTTTCCTTGCTCTATAAATCTATTCTTTTTTTCTATTAACTCCCAACTTAATTAGGGTTGCTTGCAGCCTTGTTGGGAGTGAATCAGAATATAACAAAAAACTTACTTTATACAAGAAGCAAAGTAAAACCAAAGTGTAGAAACAAAAGCAATTTTTTTTCTTCCCTCATTTACATTGAAGATTGATCCTACATTATCTATGTAAAATTTCGTTTTTATAAACTCATTAGAACTTATGCCACTTTAATTTTATTTGTAATTTTAACTGAAATATCAATGTTTAATTTTTAATTTTGTAAATTATGGTTAACAATGGCAATCCTTTTTGCATGAAACTTAAAGTTTCATAATAAAACTTTTTTTCATTTTTTAATTATATATATATATATATATATATATATATATATATATTATATATATATATATATATATATATATATATATATATATATATATATATATATATATATATATATATATATATATATATATATATATATATATATATATATGGATATGTCTGTCATGAATATTTTGTTTGTAAAATACAAACGCATGCGCATTACACATATATACAAACACATAAACTAATGTTTTATATTGTTACGATTCTGTTTATTATTAAATTTAACATACTGACATTAGCATAAAAAATTTATTATTAAGTAAAGTTGAAACATAAATATATTTTCAGGAGCATTTGCAATATTTACAAGGTTTTTTCTATTAAAACTGATAACAGCTTTTTTAAAATGTTCAGATAAGGAGCTGTTACTTTTGGAAACTTTGAATCTTTTCCAAGATTCATTAACAAAGCTGTAATAAATCGCTTTAACAGCTTGTTCAGAGTAGCAGCCTAATCCAAGCCCTCTTACTGCACAAAAACCAGCTATGTGTTTTAAAATAAAATGAATTTTCAATGAAACAGTTATTTCATAATCCTCAACCAGTGTTCTGTAGTGATTTTCAATGTTATTAATATGTGTATAAAAATCATGATGAAATAGCTCAAAAATTTAAGCCCTTCTGCAAATGGCTTCAAGTTAATTGGCAATGCAGGCATGTACTTAACATAATTTTTAAGGATTTTACCATTAAATTTTGCCATTAAAGGCATTGCCATTAAAGGCATTATTCTGGACCTCTTTCAAAATATTTAAAATCATTGACAACATTGTTTTTACCACCACATTTAAAAATTTTGTGTATTGTTCCTCTAAAGAACCAAAAGCTCTAAGCTTTTCTTCCTTAAATGGTTTCATTTGCATATATGGCAAGTTTGCGTAGCCATAGCATTTGGAGATAAACACAATATTTGACAAAGCCTAAGATCAGCTACAAATGAGTGTTTTATATTTTATCTATATTGAGATTGACACTAATATAGAAACATTGTAGTGACTTTCAGGAACATTCAGAACTAAAGCTAGTAAAAAAGAGGCTTTCACAGAACCTTCTTTATATTTTGAATTCTGAGGTTCTTCATGTACTCATTGTAGTTTTGTTTTCTTGATTGTTTTTCTCAAGTTTTAAACCTTTGCTCTTACAGGTGGTTCTGACAGGTGGTTCAAACAGATCTAAAATAAGAAATTTTTTATTTTTACAAAATGTTGTACAACTTTGTTTTGTTTTAATTGAATCATAATTCTCATAAACATATTTAGAATGAAATTATTTACCTTCAGATAACCTCTTCCTCCATCAATACCAAGTTTGTTTGATTGCTTAACTTCTCTTCTTTAATTACAATAAGGTTACAAACTCCTCAATATTGACACTCAATACTCCTTTTTTCACATCAAATTTTTGATAATCGAATACAAATAAATCTTTAAGTGCACCATCAATTATTGGAAGTGCTTTATGTAGGTTTGCTTGTATGCAAGTTTTTCCTTGTATTAATGTTCTATTTAAAATATTTTTTTTTAAAGCAAGGTTAACTATAATACTTAAAAAGAGTAAGAAATACTTCAAAAAATCGTTTTTATCTGAGTTTTTTTGCTAGCAGTATCAGTTTCTTGTTGGACAATGTAAGTCTTGACTGAATCCTTAATAAATTAATCAAAGTGATTTGTCTAGGTTTATTGCTAAGGATCCTACTATATGTTTGTAAAGGTTTTGCACCTGTAGGAAGTTTAATTCTTTATGATCCTTGTTGATATAATTTTTCTGAGATAACTTTAAAAGCAATCTGATCCTTAACTATAGCTGAAAAGTTTTATTTACTCTTTATTTCTACATTTGTGCTTCTTTCCCTTTCCAATGTTTGAATGACAATGTTTAAATATTTTTTCATGGGGTGCACATCATTTGGAAAACTTACTTCTTCTTCTTTTTCAAGCTCTCCCACTACCTTGAAATACGACAATAATATTCTATAAAATGGCAAGTAATAGATTTATTTTGTTAAAAAACTGAATCAAGAGTAATCAAATGGCCAGCACTGTAATAAAAATAACCTTAACAGCCTGTATTTTCCAGAATTTAAATAATAATTTAATTTTTAATTAATAGTTTAATTTTTACTAATATTATACTGTTCATTAAACAATCTATTCAAATAATATTATAAAGTATGTTCAAAAATTAATAAGATATTGTTGTAAATTGTTTTAACATATACAATATTTGATTTTATGTCATGAAAATCAAATGTTGTATACATTAAAACAAGTTTATGCGAACGAATGTTTAGAAAAAAAAAATTTTTCATTATTAAAAAAAAAAATTACTCAATGTCAGGATGAATGCGGGCAATGTAGAAATTGATAACTTTCCTACCGTGTTTCTCAATTTGCTCAGAGTATTTGAATGATCACCACATGAGCTGAAACTCAAAATATGAGCCATAATTATCTTTATTAAGAATATGGATTTTAGTAATGGATTGTGCAATTGAAAACAGCTTAAATGAACAGGGTTAAATGAAAACTTGATTCAGGCAACAGTTGCTAAGAAACAAAAATACATGTGTTTACTTTCCCTATATTAATATGTGTCCAATAGAAAATGATTTAACATTGACATTTATTTGAAAGCAGTTACCAGTTCTCTGGTATCTATCAGTCTTTGCTATGACTATCAACAAGTTACAAAGATTCATACTCATTAGATTATGAACCTTTTAAGTATATCTACTTGAACTTGTGTTTAGTCACAGCCAAATCTATGTGGCATTTTCAAGACCATCTTTCAAAGAGAATTTATTTAATCTTGATTAAATTAGTGCAAGTTAATTAAGGAAGATAGATATTTTTCTTACAGTGTGATACTATGTACAATTGATGTATTTTATGTGTTTTGCGCACTAATATAATATATAAAGTACAGCTTATATATTGGTATAAAATATTTTATTTATTTAATTAATTTTATTATTCAATTGTATAGTAGTTTTGAACTCTTTTTTTTTAAGACAAACATAATTACTTTTTATATTCAGATGACATAATGACAGTCGATTTAACAAGCATAGAAATCAGAAACCAATATGAAAATGCTTTTGATCAAAATTTTATTCAACCTTTTTTCAGTGTAACTTTTTTATTTAATTGTTATTTTCTCATTATTTGATTTTTTCTTGCCTGTTAACTTAACTATTATATTAGTTTTATTGGACAATGATTGTTATAAACTTTTTCTTTCAGTCATTGGATGAAGAGCTTTTGGGATTTAATAAATTTTTGATAGTAGACCGTTTTATAAATGACTCACCATTGATGAAGAAATTATATGAACAAGAGACAGAATCAGATTTGTCAAATGTTACAGTTATGAGTCCGCAACTTTGGTTTTACAGACAATCAGTATCAGTTGAAAGTCTTAAAGTTGCAGTTCAACTAAAAGTAGCAGCTGGTGGCGCTAAAGAAATATCAATTCTTGTAAAGTTTTTAGAACAGGTAATTAATTAGTTTTACAATTAGTTGTCACTAGTAAAAATACTTTAAAAATGTAAAGCTCTAAAAAAATAATAAATATATATAAAATATAAATAAAAAAAATATATTGATAATAAATATAAACATAAAATATAAATAAAAAATTTATATACTATTAATAAACAAATCTTTTATGACTTTGACTGAACCAGATATTAATTTTTTTTTTTTATTTACAAAAAATACCTTGACACAAATGAACTTTTAGTGTTGTTGATTATCCGTGAATTAATGTTTTAAGTTGTTAAAAAATAAATCTCTTACTTTCAAACTAATAATTTTTATCAAAAATCTATTTTTTATTTTAATTAGATTATCAAAATATCTTCCCCTACATATTGTTTGTTCACATCTCTCTAACAATTAAAACTGAACTATTTTCCCAACAGGAAAACAATTGAGAAAATTTTTCGTTGGAGTAACACCATTTGTCACATCAAGGTGACATGCTTGACAGATAAGTTGAAAAAAAAAGTTTTTCTCTAATGAGTTGAATTTAGTTAAAATGCTGTTCAAAATTTTCACTTGGTTTTATAAGTTTAATGCTCTGCTATAAAGTCAAGTATATAATATTTTCTCATTAATCTCTTGAATCTAATGACCGTTCTTTTCCTGTCATTCCATTTTAATAACTTTGGATATTTCATATTGAGTTCAATTTAGTTCTCTTTGATAATCAAAAGTTTTATTATTCTTGGCTTTGTGTTGTTTCTCATCTGTATAATTTTCAACTTCTCTGTAAAGTGGCTCTTTTTTCTGATGACACAACCATATACTTTTGAAAAAAGTTCATCACTTTTTGATTGCTCAGAACAGATAGTTGATTTTGAGTGTGATCTCTCTAACTTCAACAAAACTCAGATGATGACGGATGCAATTTTAGTGAGTATTTTAGTGTCTACTTCAACTCTTCTTGGACTATTACTCACTACTGATTTCTGATAGAAACTAAATTAAATAGTAAAAAAATTATACTAAAGTATATACACTTCAATATAAAGCATCTAGCATCTGTTAAGTTTGTTTCTCTTTATTCCTCTTTCTTTATTATTTACTCCTTGCTACTTTATTACTCCTCATTCAATTTTTTACAACTGTAAATCTCTTACTTGTTCTTGTATAGAATACTGTTGTATTCTATACAAGGTATAGAATACAACAGTATTCTATATGTCATATTTTTAATAGTTCCTCTAATATTGCTCCAAAATTTGTAGACAAGGTCAAAAAGCAAACTGTAGTACTGTTGTAGAAGGTAAAAAAATGTTGGACTTGTTCAAGCTAATTTTTTTTTTGTAAAGTTTTTTTCACTGTTTTATTTATGTTTTCTTAATTTTTTATCTAGTTTTTTTTTATTCACACATCAAATCTTTTAAATTCATTCTAATTTTTATGCTTTTCTGACTCATGCAATTTATTTATAAATATAAATCATAAATACAAATCATACAAATTTATTTTTTTAGAGTGGTTAAAAATGGCAGCAGGTTGTCCTTGAAATTCCAATATTATTTAAACATAATCATATTAAATAGTAACAATGTTGAATTTTGAACTATCAAACTTTAAACATTTGAACAAGTTTATAATTTTAAATAACTTTACTGAAAATCAGTATTGATACTTTAATAACTTGAAATAAATTATACTTAATATTTTTTATAGTGTATTTTAATTTCATCTGGTATCATTACTTTATTGAGTCAGTATTAACTGACTTTGCTTGCATTTGATGCAAGTAAAAATATGCTCTTTGTTTATAAATGTTTTTTCCTGATTCCTATAACTATTATGAAAGCTGCAAAATTGAAGAATTTTTGAGCTGAAGAACTCAAGTTAAAGAATATACCAAGAAATAGTATCCTTCATACTCACTTTTATTTTACGATTTTATAAGAATTTATTTTTCATCTAAAAGTAAACTATTCCTAACTTATTTGTATCACTTTATATACACTCTAACAGCAAATGAAATTAAACCAGGTACTAGTGCTTCAACAGTATTACCTTAAAATTGGAAAAAGAAATTGCAACTACAGGTGTTTCTAAAAACATTTCATCTTGAAATATGATGCACTTGCTCTCTGATATAGTAGTTACTTCTGGGGACAATTTGACAGTTTTCTCACTTTCTGAATCCATAATCAGATGTTCAAAAAAGAAAGCAGTAAGTACAAATGCAGCTAAATATCGGAAAGATATGATAAAAGCTGCAAGTCAAAGTAAATTTCTAATAATCACTTTGATGGAAAAATTTTGCAGGATATTAACGATACAAAATAAGAGAGATTGTTTTGCTGTTCTTGTATCCATGGTGATTTAACGCTTCTTGGCATTTTGCCAATGGAACACAGAATTGTAAAATTACATCATGAATGCGGAGTTGTAAAATTACACTTTATTAAACATTGTGGATGAATATAAGATAAGAACTTATATAAAGGGTCTGTACTTTGACACAACTGCAACTAATACAGGAAAGTATTCCGACACAAACTAAATAAAAATCTAATCAAATTTTATTTTAAAAAAAACTTCAAGACAAATGGTACATACATAAAGGGGTGAAACAGGAAGGGGGAGGGGAAAGTAACAAACCCTCCACCGCCAATTGTAGCTTTCCTAGAGGGAGTCCCTATATTAGAAATTATTTTTAAAATTGAATTTTGGCTTAAATTAATCTTTGTAAACAAGAGTTTAATAAAAGTTGTCACAAAAAGTTCAGGAGATAAAAAAATTGGTCAATTAATACATCCATAAAATTACCTAAAATTAAAACATTTAGCCCGTTTTTCCAGGGTCAAATAAATGCACTTTTAAACTTAACTTTCCAACAATTTCTAAATAAATATTTAGGCCTTTTAGAATTCATAGAAAAAAAAATTAGCGTTTTATTTCAATGTTTAAAGTCCCCGCTTTTTGGATAAAAGAGTGGGAGTTTTGGGGCACAAATTTTAAAAGTAAGGACCTTAAAAATGGGTTTCAAAAATTTTTTTTCAGTGTAGAATCATTATTATTCAACCGGTCAAATAGCCCAGGTGGTTTGGATTTAATTTGAAAATATTGTTGAAAAATGAAGCACTCTAATATACACTCTAACTTATCTGTATCACAATAAATAAATAGATCACTCTAAAAAAAATAGATTGGTTACCAAGCTCACACTACATCAGAGGTTTTAGCAGAACACAAACATTCATAAAGTAACTCATGAATGGGTGAACACAGGGCCAAAGGTTCAGATAGAACACAAACATATATAGTAACTCACAAGTGAGTAGACACCATGCCTAAGAATCAGACAGAACACAAAAATACAAATAGCATCTTACAAATAGCAATATACAAATAGCATCAGGTGAGTGAACACTACATCAGAGGAACACTATATCAATGAAATAGGCATTGTATTGAAAGCTCACTTATATGCACAAGTCCAATCAGAGACATTTAAATTTTTGGCGCCTTGGGGCACTGTTCCTTTAAGTGCCTTTTTTTAAGAATAACTGAAATTTTGATATGGGATGGGGAAACTTTGATATGGCACTATAAAAAAATATAATTTTTTATGTAAATTTTGTTTTGCAAATATATTTATTATATCATTTATAAGTTTATATCTATGGTAAGTACAGATTCTATAGTTAGAATTGCTAACCTATTAAGAAGATCACTTATTATTTGCGACCTCAAATAAGGTTTAACCCTCTTTAATGCCAAAAATGATTTCTCAACTGAACAATTGGATGTTGGGCAGCATATTCTTAATGCTATATTTACTTAAGGAAACAGCTCTTGATGTTTTTCAGTTCTGATCATTTTATAAACATCTATTATAGTTTTAGGTCTTACGTTTTCAGTTAAACTCATTAAATAACTTCTGAATTGTATACACTCGTTAGCAAATAAAGACAAAAGATCATTTTTATATACATTTTGAAGTACTTCTGTTTTTTTGTAAAAAAGGCAAAAGGTTTATTGTTTGAAATAAAAAGTTAAATTTTTTATTGGCTTTAACAGCACAATTTTCTTCTTTCTAGTTCAGAATGAAGTTTATCAATTATAGCATAATATGTATTAATTCTTAGAGAGTCTCAAATTTTAAAATTTGTTTCTTTTTTTCTTTTTTCATTTGCAGATAGTTTTCTTTTTCTTTTGCATATTTTTCAATATGTTTTATGTCTCGACTTATTAATTGCTCTCTATTCATAGATATCAAACATACTCCTTAAATCTAATACTTATTGAATTAAAGATTTGTATAAACTTACAACTGTTTCTAAATCAATTTCAACTGACTGCAATTGTTTACTAGTTTTTTTGAATCTCTCTAGTATATTGCCCAATAATGTGGCCATTATAACTGTTTCAAGACTATTTAATTTTAAATATAGCCCGTAAGCTTCTGATCTTGTAATAGATTTTTCTGTTTTATCATTTTATCATCTTTGATAAAAGACAGTGCATTAATTATTTCAATCCAATTTTTGTTTAAACTAATACTTGCATCAGATCTTGCTGACCACCTGATAGTTTTTTAAGAGATATATTTTCTATTTTATTCAAATTCTTCTGAAGTATTTCCCATCTATAAATGGAGGCACTGATTTTTTATTCTGCTTCAAAATTTATAAATATTTTGAAGCAGAATAAAAAATTCAGAAGCATAAATACAACAGTCTACAGTGCATTCACCAACAAGGTTTAAAGAGTGTGTCGAGCATGGTACAAATGTTGCTAAAGGATTAACTTTTTTAATGCGAGTTTGAAGTCCTGTGTATCTACCAGACATATTAGACGCATTGTCATAACTTTGACCACAACAATTATTATTATCTAATCGCTTTGATTCTAAAAGCACAGCATCTGCTAATTCTTCAGATTTTTGACCAGAATTGGGTAAAAACCCTAAAAATCTTTTTACCAGACAGCCATTCTTTTGAACATACCAAAAAATCAAT